GCATGAAAAGCTGAACTATGGCTTGTTATTCAAGCTCCAAGTTTATTTCAAGCTTCATAAAAATGTCTCAAATTCCCCGAGATACTTCTGTGATAAACATACGATGTTGATGATTTGAAATATATCACCAGCAGCAAGTTTAGCGGCAATGATAGTCCCAACTTGAGGCAACGCCTGACCAAGACGCATTGCACCGCCCATAACAGCCCAGAACACTGCAAACACTGTGCCCGGAGTAACTTTTTCCTCGATCACCAAATTTGTTCCGTACCTGACAATCAACACTTTTGAAGAAGCTTAAAAACACGGGATTGACGCGCATAATGTAACGACAGGTAGTGTTACTTGGCTCATGCCAGGGACTCCAGCTTCCTTCTGTGTTACTCTTAGAGAAAGGAGCCACCGATAGTTCTGTCATTGACAGTTGCATGTTGGGAAAGACTTCTTCGAGCGTCTGCGGCTCCCATACTAAGAATAGCACGACTGTCCGGGTATTCACTGTGGCTATTTTATGTTAGTGATATTATTGAGACATCTCCCGCATCTGTTTGTTGCACTTATGTAGGCCGTTTTACCTTGGGGTGTACACCTCCAGTTGGTACCTTTCGATACGCACAAACTCTCCAAAAACCTCAGAAATGATCGTCTTTTTTTCGCGAATATCACTTAATAATGTGCAACATTAGCCGGTCAAAGTAAAGTAAGTCGAGCAACAAGTCCTATACAATCTGAGGCTTCTGCACACAGTGAAATAAAGGTTGGAATTTTAAATTTTAAATTGACTGGAGAAGTAGATTATAAAATCAGCATAATCTACAAAAGCGCTACTGTTTTATTATTACGGCATCTGCACGAATCCAGCTTTTAAGCCCCGTTTAAGTAAAGTGCACAAACGTTGTTAAAGTTCTTGTAAAACTTACCAAAACACCAATCCCATGGAACTGAAAACAACGAATAAGTAGAGGCCTGTGAAGGCTCCAGTAACTAACACCCCTTTGGTGCCCGAACGACGTGCATATTTCAATCGATCTTCGTACCTGGAAAAAAGCATTTCTAAAATTGCTTTCTAGAGGAGAAATTTGCCCAACTAGACATACAAATCTAAAGGCATATATTCACACACCTGGTAACCTCGGCATACTGTGCATTAAAAGATGTAACTGTTCTGATCCCGGCGATAACTTCGTTGGCGATAGCACCCGCAGC